GCTGGGCTCTGGTGATCCGTCCCCTCAGCCTTCCAAGTAGCTGGAATTACAGGCATATGCTACACGCCCAGCTGATTTTTTGATTTATTGTAGAGATGAGGTCTCGCTGCCCAGGCGAGTCTCGAACCCGCGGGCTCAGGTAATCCACTCACCTCAGCCTCCCAAAGGCGCAGGATTACAGGCTGAGCCACTGAGCCTGGCTCATTCAAGGACTTTTAAAATTTCCATCTTGATTTCATTGTTGACTCAAGGATTAAGAAGCAGATTGTTTAACTTCCATGTTTTTGTTTGGTTTGCAAGTTCTTCTTGGAGTTAATTTATAATTTTATTTCACTGTAGCCTGAGAAGGTGCTTGATACGAGTTTGATTTTTAAAAATTTATTAATACTTGATTTACAGCCTATCATAAAGTCTATCTTGGAGAATGTTCCATGTGCTGATGATAAACATGTATATTCTGTAGCTTTGGGGTGGAATGTTCTATAGATGTCTGTTAGTTTCATTTGTGCTAGGGTCCAGTTTAACTACAGTGCTTCTTTGTTGATTTTCTGCCTTGGTGATCTGCCCATTGCTATCAGTGGAGTGTTGTGATCTCCTTCTATTATTGTATTGCTATGTATCTTTTTTAGATCTAGTAGAATTTGTTTTATAAAGCTGGGAGTTCCAGTGTTAGGTGTATATTTAAAATTGTTATGTCTTCTTGTTGGATTGATCCCATTATCATTATATAATAACATTCTGTGTCTTTTTCCACTCTTATTAATTTGAAGTCTGTTTTATCTGATATGAGAATGGCTACTCCTGCTTGTTTTGGGTTTCCATTTGTGTGAAATATTTTACCTTGAATCTATAGAAGTCTTTGTTAAGTGGGTCTCTTGAACGAAGCAGATATTTGGATTGTGTTTTCCTTTTAAATCCATTCTGTCAATTGACATCTTTTTAGTGGGGCATTGAGACCATTTACATTCAGAGTTAATAATGATATATAAGTTACTATTCCATTCATTATGCTGGTTACCTGGTTGCTTTTTTCCCCACCATTGTGTTGGTAGTCTCTAATTTTTGTTTATTATTTCAGGTGTTTTTCTACTGGTGTAGACTGACTTTTGAGTTGGGGGCCTCACTGTTGCTCAGGCTAAAGTGTGGTGGCACAATCATGGCTCACTGCATCCTCAATCTCCTGGGCTCAGATGATTCTTTCATCTCATGCTCTCAAGTAGCTGGAACTGTAAGTGTGCACCACTGTGCCCAGCTTTTCTTTCTTTTTTGGTACAAATATAGTCCCGCTATGTTACCTAAGCTGGTCTTGAACTCCTATGCTTAGGCAATCTGCCCACCTTGGCCTCCCAAAGTGCTAGAATTATAGTCCCTTACATACAAACACTCAAGATGCAAACTTTCAAAGATATGAACATACATTTACATTATTTGAGGAGGCACTGTAGAATGGTGCATGCAGGTTGCAGCAGCTGTTCAGAATGCAATCCAGTGTTATTGTGTCATCCATGATGAGAAAAAAAAGTTATGACCCTGCCATCACTGATTCACTTTTTCAAGAGGGTAGACAGAATTGAATCCAGCAAAGAACCAGAACCTGTGTAATCAACATCAGGTTGAATGAAACTGCAGCTTGCCCTCTATCTCCTATTGCTGATGATCCTTCAGCTCTATTATCTCTTACCTCCTTTGCCTCCTCCAGTGAGTAACTCTTCTAGTCTATTTACTTGCTAGCCCCAATATGCCCGCTGTTGTATTACTGTATTACTGTACTTTAAAGTGTTATACTGTGTAGTACTGTAAGATTAAAAATGATTTCTTGTGTTTGTTTTTATGCGTTATTTGTGTGAGAAGCATTATAAACCTATTACAATAAAGTACAACTTTGTCAGTTGGGTACCTAGGCTAACTCTGTTGGAGTTACAAATTGAACTTACAAACATGCTCTTGGAATGGAACTCATTCATAGGTAGGGCACTTACTGTAGATAAAAATACAGACACTGCATCATGACTAAGAAATTTTGGAATTATACCTGAACAAATTTTCATTAAGCACACGTATTTTCAAGTGAAGTATTAGAAAATTGCAGTATTTTATTATTTTGCTGATTTACATTTGGAAACAATACAAGTTGCCTCATCTACCTGAATGCTAGGATATTATTGATCATATTATACCAATGCACAGAAAATCTTGAAATATTTTAATATTTCTAAAACACTGAGAGCAGCTAAATCATATTTTAATAAACGAGGTTGATGCATTTATATTTAAAGCCTACAGTCAGGTAGGCTGCATGATCTGTAATGAAAAGAGATATATAACCTAAACTAAATATAAACATATACTAAAATGTGCCAGTGCTTCCTTGGTCTTGTTTAAAGACAATAATATATCTTTTTCTTGACTAAGAAACAACCTGTGCCACACCTACAATCCACGAAAAGATAAAGTCTACCTGAAACCATGAAAGGAATTTAGAGCTGAAAGAGAATTTAAGAGATCACACAATCTCATCACTTCCTTTATTTGATTCCAATCTAATGTCATCATGTACCTATTTTAATATGGTTTCACATTTATGCTCAAAATACATATAAAAATGATTTGCTATAAAAAAAACCACATTTTAATTTTATTTCAATTAAATGGTAAAAATGTTATAATATAGAGTTTAAAATGTATGTTATACAACTAACAAATATGATTTTAATAGGCTTAAATATATGAATTCAAAATTTATTGAAATAACTGGTTTATGTGATTTCAGTTGATTAAAAAATGTTTATACTAACCTGTGTTTTCAAAGTTTTCTAGAGAGAACAATTTTTTTTGTACAATAAAACATTTTAATAATGTAGAGAGATAATGTAGTTATAAGTGCATTTACCAAGCCAAAGACTATTTTTATAAATTTTTTTTTTTTTGAGATAGGGTCTTGCTCTAGTATCCAGGCTCTGGAGTGCAGAGGGCTCATTGTAGCCCCAACTCCTGGGCTCAAATGATCATTCACCATGGTCTTCCAAGTAGCTAGGACTACAGGTGTGAACCACTGCACCTAGATTTTCTAATTTTTTGATGCCCAGGCTGGCCTTGAACTCCAAGCTGCATGTGATCCTCCTGCTTCTGCTTCCCAAAGTGCTGGGATTATGAAGATTCTAAAAAGTGGCAATCCTCTAGCAAGACTGACAAAAACAAACAAAACACAAATAACCAATGATGAAGGAAAGATCAAGAGACAAGAAGGAGATTATTAAGGATGTTAAACAATTTTATGCCAACAATTTTGGCGACTTATGTGAAATGCACATATTTCTTCAAAAACACAAATTCAGAAAACTGACATGAAAAGACAAGAAATGACAAGAACAATTTTGAATAGCCATATATATTCTTTTAAGATTAAATTCACTTTTAAATCTTCCCCAGAGATAGCTGAAAAGATCTAAGCAATTTAATTGGAAAATTTTATTAAACAGTTTAAAAAGAAATAGTAGCACAATAATATGTTCTCTCAGAAAACAGAGGATTAAATGTTTCTCACATTCTTTTAAGAGGTCAATACAGCTCTGATAAGTACAAGAAAATAATATAATTACAGAATTATAGTCCCAATTAATACAGGTGAAAACAACTTAATAAAATGATAGTAAATCAAATCCAGGAAAAAAGTAAAAATAATACAACTCATTCGATTTTATCAGAAGAAAATATGGTTGGTAGAACACTAGATTATCAACCAAACTCCACTCCCACTCTCTGTTCTTCTCTTTGCAGTCAGTGAGAGCTTATTAAGAAGTGAGTTAGAGCTGGGCTTGGTGGCTCAGCCTGTAATCCCACGCCTTTGGGAGGCTGAGGTGAGTGGATTGCCTGAGCCCGCAG